TGACTCCTCGTGCTGACGTTGGCTGGAAGACATAATGGCATTAGCTTTACCGCTGCTGAGAACTAACGAGATTGTATGTTCCACTCGAAACTCTTGTAGGAAAACGGATTGGTATTCTGATTGCGGCCGCGAACCATCCACCGCCTCAACGGAACGGACCATCCTCGTTCTTTCAATGCTCTACGGCTATGGTGTTACCTTAAGGTGGCGTAAAATCAATATGATCGAATGACTAGCTCCAGACTGAGCAGGAGGAAGCGAGCGCTTGGGGAGCATTTCAAGAACATCGAGGAGTAAGCGAAGAAGGCGAAGCCAACCAGCCTTCGTGCCACCTCCAACTTCTTTCGATCTTGCGGTCCTTCCTGCCTTGAGCGTAGCCTCAGAGACTTTGGACCGTCTACGAAAGCACGATGGAGCGATGCGGCAGGGGCCGTTTATCAAGCGGCCGCCCATCGAAAGGCGATGCTCGGTAGTTTCCGCGGACTACATTGTCGTCGCAAGTGAGAGAGGGAATCCGGAAGTTCCGCACTCCGCAACGTGCGAAGATCGGAGAGAGGCCCGGCCGGCATTCTGCGCTAGTTTTCGAAACATCAGGTGGGCCGGAACGTTATGCGTTCGGGTGGTACGACCGCTAGACCGACGTTAGCAATCACCGCTGGATTCCACGGGATGTCAAGCGAAGCCTGGATCCGACCCTGTGCTATCGCGATGGTCAGCCGACTTGCTTGGTGAACGAGGCTTCTGAAGCGAATACGGTATGAAGTTCATCGTGTCCCTCGAGCTGAAAGAGTTCATTGGGCAATTCTTGCACGTTGCAGGGACGAATGGAGACGTTACTGGCGCCCGCTCCAGGAACTCGATGATCAACGGGAGCACAGGTGATACAGGTGATACTCGCATACTCGCATACTGGAAACCAAAGTACTGGTTTGGTTTCCTGTGTGCGAGTGCCTGTGCAAGAAAAGGTGGAATATGGTGAAGTTACGTGCTTCTCAAAGACACTTTCCACGATAATATATAAAAAGTATAAAGCCTCCGCCGTTGATCAATACCTTTGTGGGATGCGGCACGCATTCTACTTCCATTCAGAATCGCAGTGACTTATTGAATGCTATGTGGCCTATACAATGACTTGCGGTGGCCAGTCGATGTACAAGCCAGTGTTTTATCCTCCCAGACGAATCTGGTACCAATTACCGTTCCCGGAGGGTAGAAGGCTTGGTTGGCTTGGGCGGGTCGACCCGGGATTCGAACCCGGCGTCGCGCGAGTGGTGAGGGCGCCACTTCTACACCACCTCGTGCCCACGATAAGGTATAGAAGTTGAAAATATTGCGTCGAGAGGATAATATGGTTCGCGGTGCACAGCCTTGTACCGTTTTCAAAAAATGGAAGGAGGAGCGCAATATATGTCCAGTGACGCTTTCTTTTTTTCCAGTGATCCCAGCTCGAGACCCCGCTCTCAAAGTCTGCCTTTTAGTGAAAAACGAAGCTGTAGGGCGAAAAGGCATGAAAATCGTCACTTACATGGTCGTACAGTTCCTATCGGGAAATTAGCAGCGCGGTTGAGGGCGTTGTGTTGGGAATGAAGTTAATTGGTGTCGTGACTTCCGTACGACTTTTCCAAAGGGTTGTTTTATGGTGGGCGGTGCGGCGGTCCTGGCGCGCTTAGCATTCGAGAAGGTGCTAGGGACGCAGAGGCGGCTTCAACTCAAGCCGTCAATCAGTCTACGTCGTGCAGCCATCCTAACTGGTCGCTCCTCTCCGCTCTTCGCCCAGCTTTCAACATCTTCATCCATTTATGCTGTTCGCTGTTCATCATAGACAAGCCGTACCACGGTGGAGCTGCATCTCAGGCCGCCGAACATCCTAGGTCACCATGAGGAGTGGAAGTGCATCCGAACTTCCTGCATAGCCGGAGGTGAGAATGCGCCTAATGGGGCTGTACCCTCGGGCCCGCAGGTATCAGGCAAGAATCGTCCCCGCTCGGGGCAGTACCAGCTTTTCATTAAGTAGTTATTTTCTCATTACTGTTTCATAGTTTATTACTGCTCAGAGAGGTAAATAACCTTATGTATTGTTTGTCATGTCCGGTTTAAGCACAACTATCTTGAACAGCTATTCATCATGGTTATTCGGTATGTTGGTTGTTGGCTTACGTCATATGTCAACGGCGTCGTTGGTCTGATCGGCTATGAGAGCAGTAATGCTTAGGTGAGCTGCGTGGATGCGGCGTAGGTAAGAGGGTAACGTCAAGTAGTGATCGTAGAGCTAGCTCACCACCTAGGGACAGTAAGGGCCTACTGATGGCGGATAGCAACAACGGACCCCCGTGGCAACACCGTAGGCGAGAAGAGGCAAGCGTTCCATGTAACCGCGCTAAGCACGAGTCTCTCCACGGTAGGCCCCGTGCCCAGATGCATTTGCGGAGGGATAGAGTCGCCCGTTGCACGACAATTGGGAACGCACAAAATGGGATCGAAATGGGGATTTAGCTAGAGCAGTTGTATGTTTTTTCCGCTTTTTTCACTATCAAGTTACTCAGTACGTTTTCATCTATATGCGTATCCGTAATCCACTTCTGTGGTAGAATGAACGCGGACTTTGCCTTTATTAGCTTGTGGAACTTCTGTGTGTTGCACGTGAAAATTCTATTTTTTTTCTTCAGATTCAGCGCGCCTCGTAAAGCTGCTAAGAAAAAGGAGTCGTTGACTGAACTATCATCAGGATAGAACGGTAATGATTATAGTGACATGGCACGCCCCACTGCGACATCCAATCCAATTTAAGCCTGTAAGGATCTGGAAGGATCAAAGGTTTGTGGAGCGTAATAAAGCGAATAAACGAGTGGAAAGCAAAACTTATACATGTTGGACCTGGACTTCAATAGGTCAATAGGTCAGAAGAGATTAATTTGTTCCGCCCACCATACCACGGAAGAACCCCCCCCCCCACGCATTGCGACGGCAGGTAGAACAACTTAAGACTTTGCTGCTACATTAGAGAGCCGACTGGTGTTGGAGCATCAATGAAACTCAACATTTTTTTGGTGATAATCACAAACTCTACTATGCACGAAATGAAGGAAAGAGCCGCTAGCGAATGTGATGAGCCACCAGGATTTAGTCAGCGATGCGTTCGACCTCACCCGGGGGTGTGCTAATGTGAGGATGGGAAGCGAGGCTGCAGCAGCTGCCCTTAAACAAAAATTAGTGATAGCAAAGGAATTTCGTTTGCCCAAACCATAACCATTTGCTCTCTGAGTCTTGCGTTCAATAG